CTTCCTTCCTTCCTTCCTTCCTTCCTTCCTTCCTTCCTTCCTTCCATCTCTTGGTTAATTGCTACTGGAAACCAGAGGGCAGAGTGTCCCGGGAGAGGCAGGGCAAGGCCCCATCTGGGACAAAGGGGAGCTGGGTTGGCATCAGGCAGAACAACCAGCACAAAGTTGTCCTTTGCAGCCCTGGGCTCCCTCTACTGACCCCCCCTCTCCTGTCACTCTCACACCCTTCTGGAAAGCCTGCTGCCTCCACTAGCTCACCTCCCACAGCACATCAACTCCATGAAATCCGGCACATGCATCCTCTCTGCCCCGTAGCTGCCTGCTGCCAAGCTGCAGTGCTTCTTACTGCTTTATCCTGTTTTCTCTTCCATCCTCAGGGGACAAAACCTGCTCCCATACAGACCACTCTTCTCTTCTCCCTTCTTGACATTCTCAGCTCAGGGTAAAAATCACACTGATGACAAAGCAGAACAAACCAACCACACAAGCCAAGACCACGATGACGGTTCCTTCAGCCACTGGAAGCTAAACTCATGGTGTCTGTGGCTCATTCTCCTCCTGCCCCGCATTGCACTTAAACTTAGCTCAAAGCACAGAGCCAGGTTGCAGTTCCCTGCTTGTCCTCCCCTCCTTCTCATACTTCCTCATACTTCATCCAACCAGGACAGGGCGAGCAGCCTGGCATGTGTTCTTTCTCCATGCCCCATGTTAGCATGTGCAAAAACATACACCCGTGGGGATTTTGATGCTCTAGCTTTTTACAAAGAATTCACACACACAAAATCTAAAGCCACATATGCTTCCCTACAACTGACCTCTCTCCTTTTCCGACATAATAACCTGTCAGTCTTCTGGGCTGACACTATAGATGCCAATTTCTTGTCTTAGAACATTAGCCTTGTGGCTGTCTGGAGAGGCATCAGGGTGGTGCAGCTCATCCTCCTGGCTTGGCAGCTGTCCCCTCCTGCTGTAGGTCAAGGTGAACTCCTCCCTAGTCAAGAGCAAAGAATCTCTAAAAGCCCCTCGCAGCTCCTTCCTGCTGTGCTCTCCCCAGGTTTTCTGGCACCACCCTCCTCCACCTCCCCTGGTTCTTTGCAGTCCTCTGGCTGGGTTTCTCTCCTCTGCTGGTGTTTATCAGTCACTTTCTCCGTGATAACACTACATAACCAACAACCCTTAATCTTAGTGGTTGATGATCCCAAACATTTTTTCTGAAGAGGCTGATTTCACATCTCTCCTGAATCTCCAGTAGCCATTCTCCCTGGAATCACATTTTACTTGTGCTTGTTTGCTTCAGGCAAATTCTTTTTTCAAGCTTAATTTTCTTGAAGCCTTTTTGCAAGTCCCTCTATGTTAAAAAAATGAAAAATAAAAACAAAATAAAACCTTAAAAGATAATCATGGATCACAAAGTTTTTCTTGGCAACCAGGGCAAGATGCTGTGATGAACAATCACTTGCAGTTAACTTTTTTTTTTTTTTTTAAACAGTCGTAAGGAACTCAGGGCTCACTGAGCCGCCTCTCAGTCTTGTTATCACAGAGACAGGTAGATATTTTCACCTTCATGGTCAATTTTAAACTTTTCACAAAATAGAAGCACTAATTTTTCTAACTTTGACTTTTATAAAAAAGCATTTCATATCATTATATCTCAGTAGAATGTGCAGGAGGGACCCAAAGTAGTTATGTCTAAAAATAATACATAGAATATGGAAGTCAATTTACATATTTCCAGTGAGGGAGGCTTAAATGTAGAACTGCCTAATTATCATTCTTACCATAGAAATTCGGGGAAGTTTGGAATTTGCTCTTGACCACAATGTGAATTCTGTTCACAATGATCATCCTTCATGGAAAACAAGACTTGACCAAGGGCAGAAATTGGGTTGAATAGGACTTTTGTTGTATTATGGGGGGATCCAGCTTAGAAAAAACCAAGGCATAACGTGGGAATACATAGAAGAAAGCATAAAGGAAAACCTAGGTCCTAATTCCAAGGAGGCACATAAGTTCCCTATATTAGTTGGGAGCCAAATAGCCGATTAGGGAAGAGGTAAATGCAAGAATTGAGCACTCTGAAGACAGCAGGCTCAGAGAGATGAGCAGAGGTTACACCTGCTAGAAATGCCCCCCAAATGCCAGGCCTCTCAGAGAGCATGGAAGGGCTACGTCATTACCATCTCATGAATACTGCAGCATTTTGAGCATCGTATTAAACGCCAAATCACAAGGGTACAAACTGTGATATTGTTTGACATTAACTTTAAACCAAGCAATGCTTTCAACAATAACTTTGCAATGAAATTTAAGTGTGCTATATGTAAGGCAGTCTAAGATAGAAAAAAACAAACAAACAAAACACCAATTTCTGATTGAAGCCACATTGCTGTTCTCTGTCAATCCTGCCAGAATTCCCTTTTCCCTGCATGAATAAATAGTTTTCTACACAAGATTAGAAACCCCAACCCCGGGACTTTAATGATGCGAGGTGTGGTGTCTCCTCGCCTTGTCACCTCTGCTCACCCTGGGACAGCGCTTCTAAGTCCCAGCTGGTGACTTATCATTATTAGTGTGATAAGTGTGGCTGACCTTAAGGGTTAGAGTCGACACACAGAATTTCTAAAGCTCTCAAAAAACTGATTTAACATTTCTGGTTCATGTCTGATAGGTAAATTACCCCTGAGACATGTTTTATTCATGTTTCTGTTTGTCAGCTTCTTTGCCCTCTTGCATGCAAAGCTTTGTTTTTGCCTGGACTTGGAATTTCCATGACCACCATCAGGCCAAAAGCAAAATTGTGGAAGCACCTCTTTAATTTGATGGGTACAGGTGGATAAGCTGGATAAATGCACTAATTGTTCAATTATGGAATTGTCCTGGAGACAATTCCACCAGGAGACCCCAAAGACTTTCTATGGCTTTTCATGTGGAAGTTGTGGTTAGGTCACCTTTAGGACCTATCTAGCCGATAAAGATGCACAAAATGAATAACGGACTGCTTGAAGAACTTCCCCAGGTGAACGATTCTATTCAGGTGGATGGCCTGATTTTCTGTAAGGGCAATTTAGCTAGACAGAGGAGAAGAGAAATTTGATAATAGCAAACTCGAGGAAATAATCGTCTGTTGGAGAATTTAACAATTAGAAACTATATAAAGCACCTTACGCCTAGCACTTTACCTTTAAATTTTTAAAGTACAAGTATTTAAAGTGTGGCCTTCAAATGAGTTCTATGATACATCTTTTAAGATATATTCTAAAGTCCACTTTTAAATTCCTAGAAGAGCTATGTGTAATTCAAATCTGCTAGTTTGGAAATAAGTGCCGAATCAGCATATAATATTTAATCCCCACCACACACCTAACTCACTTGTACCATTTTGGGGGTACTGATTCCTTTTTATCATGAATTATTTTTGTTTACTTTGCATCTTTTTTTCCAGAATTAAATCTCCATAAGTACCTGATGCTAACAGCTGTGAGTGAAAAAGTTTTAATGTTGATTCATTAAAAAAAAAAAGTAATTCATACAAATGGAATGACTCAGGTAGGTCTTACTTGAGGTAGGGGTTCAGATCTTCACATCAGAACATCATTAATTTTTTTCTCTATGTATTGGATACGCTTTCCTTAGCAGAAAGAGGGACCCATTTGGGGTGAGCAAAGATGGCTTGTCCATTATAGAGCAGGGCTGTACCTGATGTTCATCCCTGCCTCATCCTGCACCCTGGTCACTTCCCTGCAGTATCGACCCACTAGATTACGTATTTTATAGGTAAAATTCTAATACATATTGAATAAAAGAATGCACGATTGAAATGTCAGAGTATAGTGAGAAATGAATTGGCCCTGAAATCAGATGAAACTACTTTCAAATTTGGGGTTACAGAGTACTAGCTGAGAGACCTGAGAGAACATTACTGTGTAGGTTTTGTTTCCCCCTCTGTAAGTTGGGGCCAATAAGGTTAACAATGAGGTTGTTAAGGAGAGAATATATGCAAATTGCATAGTATTTTTCTTTGTGTTTAAAAAAAATTAAGAAGACTTTACACCTCTCCACTAAAATACTATCCCACTAGTATTAGAATTATCATTTAAATTTAATTTATTTGAGTTTTAATATTTTACTATTAAAACCTAATTTATTTTTCATATCGTTAAATAATGCAGCTTAATATCCACTGATTTGGGTTCAAATCTATTAAAGAAATCTTAATGCAATATCTGAATATGTTTTTTAAGAAACGATATTTAAATGAATCATTTAAGGAAATTACATATTTGAGATCTATGTTCTTATAGAAATATGTGCCCTATTAAGGTTAAGAATGGGTTGGTAATTTTGTCACTTGGAATAAATATAAAAAAGAAGAAGAAAAACAATGATCTTTTATGTCCTGAGGCAAATACTACTTTATTCTTCTCATTTCTATTTACCTCGGACTCAGGAGAACTTAGCGAGAGTATTGTGGTGGAGATGATCTTCTTTATATATATAATGTCAAAAAAGAATAAATATTAATCAGCTGCTTCCCTTCTCCTGTCTTCCCCCCATTTCACAGCAGCAGCAACTCGGGTATGTTTTGCTATTACAACCCCCTCAGAGAGATAAAAGGGATCAGCACGCGGCCTCAGGAAGCCGTTGGTTGACAATATTTTTTTTGTTGTTATTTGAGGAAATGGAATAGGCCTATAAACTACAAATGATTCTTCAAGAGCTGATTTGACAGAAGATTTCACCAGGCATAACATTTGTTTGGGTACACTGGCAAACAATAGGATTCCAGAATGCCAGGCAGCTTATGGGAGACTGAACAAAAGAAGTTCTACAGCAGCATCTGTATGTGTACCTCACCCAGAATAGTTCAGTTCTGTGTTAGGCAAAGAAGATCGCAGACCTAAGTCTGAACAACACTAGATTCTATTCCTGTGCAGGTTTGGAGCAGGTTTGGTGATGGGGAGTGGGGAATGGGGAGTGGGGCGGACATAAAACCTTCAAAGTATTTTGGAAAAGGCTAAAATTTAGCGTTCATGGAGGAAGCAATGCCTGCAAAGTGAGACAATCAGACAGGAGGTGAGTCACCAAGTCCTTGCCATGGCCCTCAAAGTGTCATCACAGGGAGATATGGCCCCAGTCAGTCTCACAAGGAAAGGTCCACTGGACAAAGCTGCAGTCCTCTCTTATGTGGTTCTGTTCCCAAACGCTGTCTATTTCAACATTTTAAAAACATTTCCATTAACAACATTTAACGAAGGAGAAAAAGCAAACTCATATCTCTAAACTGATGACATACCCTTCAAGGTTGCTTCTTTTAAAAAGAAATTTACAGTTCTCTACAATCAGATACATGTGCCTGTCCTAATGTAAAACACTGTATAAAAATATTCTTATGCATTTATTTCCATTTCACTGATTTTCCACCAAATCTGAAGGAAAGTCTCGAGCCGGGGCTAGATTTGTGCGACTGGAGCATCAGCGCTGGCTTCTCAGCCCTCTTCTAGCATCACTAGGGGGCTGGGACAGTGGCTCCTTTCTTTACTGCTCTCTCCCCAGGGCCTCATCAGTACCTGGCACAGGGTAAACGCTTGATAAATGTTTGTCGAATGAGTGAAAGAATTTAGTAATTAATATGCCACGTTTATCCTTTGGCTTCCCATTTTCGCAGCACACAGCCCCCAGAGGATATGCGCCTGCTTCTGAACAGGACTGCTCCTCCGTCGGGATGCAAATCAAGCCGAGATGCAGAATTCACAGAGACAAATTCATGGAACCCTTTCTCCTCACTCCTGTGATTTTATTAGCTGAATTATGGGTGCGGTTTATTTCATGGATCAGATGACCGAGCCTTCTAGGTCTGTGGATTCAGTGCTCGGCAATTATCCAGGTAATATGATTAATGCAGGCAGTAAAGATGAGCATCGGCATGGTCACAGGGCCTCGTGTTTTTGAGGTGGGGAAGCCACATCAAATCTGCTGAAGCAGTGCTCTCTGGAAGGAAGCAAGCTCTGGAGGACGCCAGGTTCCTCTCCATTGCCTCCATGTGCCCTCTTGTTCCCCTCCTCCTTCTAGGGCCACTCAATATCTTTGCAAGTGTTCATTTCTGGCATATTGCATGTCTATTGTCAATCGGAATCACCTCCGATTTCTTGAGCATTGGGAAGACAAAGCTAATTCTGCTGATAAAACATGATGGCAAGGCACCCACTAAGCAGGGGGGTGTGAAGACCTGTGTTTTGGGAGGGAATAAAAGAAGAGCTGATTAGAAATACTATTTCCCTTCAGAAAAGTCCCTATTTTAAGGAACTATTTTAAGGGAAACCACCTTAAAGAAAATTAATATCCTTAAAAAAAAATGAGTTCAAGGAGTTTGGGCTGCTTCTTACTGAGCACACCTTCGATGCCTATACCTGAAAACATCACCCTAGTGGCCCGGCATACCCATCTGGGCAGGGCCCACATTGTCCTCTGTAGTGAAGACAGGGCAGGGAGCCTTGGTGTAAAGGTCAGCGAACGTCGGAGGAAAAGACCACCAAGAGACCGTCTCATGCAACAGCAAAGGGTTTATTGGGGATCCAGCATGCTGGGACTCAGTGCTCACTCCAGAGGAGCAGAGAACAAAGAGCCCCGAGAACCACTTGAGCAGAGGTTATACACATTTTTTTACAGAGGGTAGGGACTCTATATACATCATAGCTTCCTTCAGCAAATCAGTATGCACCGAGGGAAAATCAAACAACAACTCTCAAACATGATTAGCACATTCATTGGCAGGAACAGGTCGGGCGGGGGTGATAAGTCAGTCCTAAGGCGGGATATACATTCAAACTGATTGGTTTAGGCCCCGAGGTGCGTAAGTGCTGAGCTGCACGGTGTCCGGGTTGTTAAGCAACTAGGTAGTCAAAAGGGGGGGATTTCAACACACATCTAATGGGCAGTTCCGGGAATTGTCTTAGCTGCCACAGGAATTTCAGGCTTTGAGTGCAGCTTAGAAACTTTACAATACCTGGTCCTTTACATTTTAACTTCAGTTTCTTTTATCCTTTCATTGGAACACAGAAGCCTTTTGCTCAATGTCACCGCGACCTGGGAAAGGTCAACATGTAGCAGATGGAGGTCCAGCGCAGATCTGCCTGGTTGTACCGTCTGCATTCTTACTAACCAGATTATGTTCCTCTTGGCTCTGTCACAAGTCAAAGAGAGCAAGAAGGCGGAGAAGACAGGCTTAGCCCTCCCCATTGAACATCATTAATGTGAGATTCTGCGCCCGACACAGAGAGAAGAGGCAATTTCAGTAAATGGGACTGGTGACAATGGCAGCAGGTCCTGGGAACCGGATCCCATAGTCTGAATACAGCAAAGTGAAGCACTGTCACCTTCTGCCTCTTGGTTCAAATTTGATATCTCCTAGTGCCACAGCTGGTCTTTCATGGTGCTGGAACAGCTTGTTATTGAAATCATATAATTTGAAACTTGGGCTAGAAGACTCCATTCAAAGACCCCCATCCACATACTGGTGTGTCAACCTGGCAAACTTTCTTGGATTTGATTTAAAGCTCTTTTTATAATGCAAAATTCTCCCATGACAGGCAACACACAATTTTTTAATTGTCACGAGTCCTGCTTTACACCAATTCTTTGGAGTGAGGGCTAGGAATCAAGAATTTTAACTTATTTGTACAATCCTCAAAGGGTTTTCATCACCTCCCTTTGTAGAAAGATAAGGAGATTTTCCCAAGGCATACAGATCAGCTGCGGTGGAGCTCAGGCCTCCGCCCATCAGAACCTCAGCTTTTTCTGATAGGAACCCTCCTGCTGTATGGAAAACTTTAGAAGTGAGTACTCCAATAAGCCTTAAGAAAAAGGGAAAAGGGCCAGAAAGCTTTGATGAAACTTATCAGAGCACAGGAACCCAGAAGCACCCACTGACAAGGGTGTAGGGTGAGGCAAAAAAGACCTAAAGTCAAAGGTCCCACTCCCATTACCCCTCAGATTTGCAAAGAAAGTCCAACTACGAGTATTTTAGTCAGCTTTTTCACTGCTGTTACTTAAAGACATGACAAGAACCATTTTAGGGGAGGAAAAGTTTATTTGGGCGCTCATGGTTTCGGAGGTCTCAGTCCATAGCAGGCTGGCTCCATTCCCCGGGGCTCGAGGTGAGGCTGAACATCATGGGGGAAGAGTGTGGCCTATGGAAGTGGCCCATGTGATGATCAGGAAGCAGAGAGTAAGCTTAGCTAACCAAATAAATACCCCAAGGGCAAGCCCCAGTGACCCACCTCTTCCAGACCCACCCTACCCACCTCAGTTACCACTCAGTTAAACCAATCAGGGGATCAATTCACTGATTGGGTCAAGGCTCTCACAACCTAGTCGTTTCACCTCTAAACCTTCTCGCAGATGAGGCTTTGGAGCACACCTAACATCTAAACCTTAACAATGGGCTTTAGTGTCAGCAGAGGAGGTGATGCCCTCACAGCACTCAGACACCTTGGACACAGGCCCCCCTACCTCCAGGGGGAAGAAAGGCCCGAAGGTGACAGGTAATCTGGAGATGGACACAGGATTGAGCTGGATCATAAAGTGAAGCCACAAAACTTCCCACAGAGCTCCTGGATACACCAAGGCTGAAGGTTGCTCAGAGATCCAGCTAGAGATACTCCTCATTTAAAATAAAAATTTAAAAGTGATATCATTCAAGTTCCACGTGTTTCAGGAGCAATTTCCTTTACCCCAGGAAATGCTCAGACTCAGTATGCCATGTTTCTGTTTCCTAGATCCACAAGCAAGTTTGCCAAAGCCACCTGCAGAGCACACAGCGACTGCTTCTGCCCATGCCCGCAGCACAGCCCTGCCCTGGGCAGCACACACTACAGGTCTCCACTGCTTTTTCCCCCTCCTCCCTGCTACCTCATCCTGGGTTGACAGACACACATTGAACACACACACTCTCCCTCTGGCCCTCCCAAGGCACCATGTGATGTCACAGCAGCTGCTCCCTTTCTGAGGAGGGGGAGTTCTCCTTCAAAGCTGGACTCTGACTCTAGGCTGCGCTTTGACCTTCATGGCTGGGACTCAGCACCAAGATCATCACTTAAGGCAGACTGCAGGGAGGCCTGGCCCAGCCTGTCCTGGGGACAAAAGCAGGCTGGAGGAATGGGCTGCAGATTTGAATGACACTGGTCACGTGAAGCTTCTGGTGATTTTTTTTTCTTTTCATAGGATCAATTTACACTTTTTTTTTTTTTCAATTCTTTCCTTCCCCGGGCTCTTGGGAGGTCAAACTGCAGGTACAGACACAGGCATAAATAGAAGCAACAAGAAAGGAGATGGACTATGGGTCTCTATTTTATTCTCTTCTTCTTAATGATTTCCCCCTTCCCTTCATTCTACCTCTAAAATTTGCCCTGAAATTGAACCTGATAAATGGTAAAGAGCTAAAGAGATTCATTATTCTCTGCCAAAAGAGCATTTTTTACCTTCTGATGTGCGTCTTCAGAAGTCCTATTTTAATGTCCGTGGCACCCCGCAGATAGATTGAGAAGGGGAATAGCTGCCAAAGCCCAGTTAGACAATTTTGTGTGATCAAAGAAATTCAAAGGCAAAGAGGGGGCCCTGGGAAAGGCACAGGGACGTGAGACAGACAGACAGGCTAACGTGAGACAGTCTCACTCAATGCCGAGGAGGACAGAGACTGAGGACAAGGAAGAAGAGACTAAAACACCAAGGTGGTCAGCTCATGATTGAGCTGGAAAAGGCAGCATTTGTAGAGATTATTAAACCCCCTCTCCCCTCCCACCTCCCACCTCTCCACTGAAAGGCCTAGAGGCACATGCAGATGTGGGAAGCGGGAGGCAGTGATAAAGGGAGGCTGGACTAGATCAGTGTGTGCCGTTTGCATGTCAAATATCACTACTGAACCCCACTGATGAGCAAAATTCATCCTTGTTAATCAAAAAACTTCTGAAGAATAAAAGGCATGGGGAAAACACTTTTGGAGCTAGTTACTTTTGTAAGAGCTACCAGCGGGCAAAAGATTTTGAATTTTTCAGAAAAAAAAAATATAGAAAGAACTAGACTGAAAGAAGGGGGCCACAGTAGGACAACTCCAGTCCAGCCACTCTCAGAAGCGTTTTTTGGATGAGACCATGTCAAATCCCCGTTCAGACCAGCTGCCTGGAAGGAGGGAGGGCTACAGCTAATAGCAGGCCACGTTTTGTGAACTCCCTTTGAACTCACAAGTGAGTAGAAGAGAACACCAGCATTGTGGGTGATCCTGGAGCCCCAGGGCCATTAATCAGGACAGTCAGGGTGTCACAGAGTTAATTTTCTGCTTGTCTTTGTCCACAGCCTCCTCCTCCAGGCTGCAGCAGCTCCCCTTGCTTCTGGACCCCTTATGGTAGAGGAAAACACTGTGCCCCTGGTAGATCCTGGCCTACAGAACAGGACAGTGATGCTGAAGGGTCCATGGAGAGACCTACAGGGTTCTTGTGGGATTCCTTTTTGCTTCTGGCACCTCCACCTTCACTTGGGGCACACCAACTGCTGACCCTGATAGATGAACCGACTCATGATTGTTACAGGGCATGGGCTTTCCCCAGGGTTGAGTCAGCTACGGCAGCCCTTCTTACCCCCAGTTCTTGCAATCAAGCCAGAAAGATTCCAGACACGTCGCTCAGTGTAACAGAAATGAGGTTATTAGAAGGGATGAGAAAGGGAAAATGAGCATGCCATCAAGGGGGAGACCGGGTCCTCTTAGGGGAAGGACAGCACACCCCTCTTGCCTTCTAATTTTGTTAGGGATCTCAGGGAAGTTTCCAGAGTCACATCCAGCTCTATGTCTTGACTTTCACCTGAAAGCAAGATGACCTCAGACTTTCAAGTCCCCACTGCACATGGCAACTGTAGGTCCCTTTGGCCCATGCTGACCAGTTCTGATCTGAACCTGTTCTTACAGCTTTTCTGGTTGGAGGAATAATCCTTATCTCCCTAAGTTCTGTGATCTGGTGTGTACAAGGGCTGTAAAATCCAACCCTCTTCCTTCAGGGAAACTTGTGTTTCTTTTCATCAGTATCTGGGGCCTGCATTTCCTCTGCAGAGAGCAGGTTGTTTGCTAAGGAATATAACATATCTCGTCAACTGCAGCCAGGCAGGGCTAACGTAATTTTTTCTTTTCTTTTTTAAGAAAACAGGTGGGAGTAACACAGTGGGCCCAGTGTATGGAATTAGTCCCCTAAACTCAGGTTCCTACTGCTCATGTCTGTCCGTCTCCTGTCACAATCATGAATAACAGAGGACTGGAAGACCCAGCACAGAGTTCACCTAAACCAAAGTCACGCCATGAAACAACTGAAGACCAACATGGAAACCTCTAGGCAGAGAGAACTGTCTGAATGATATAATTATCAAATATATGAAAAAAAATTAAAAGGAAACTCTTTTGGATTTCTAAAATGTCAAAAATAATAAACAAGAAAACATTCAGAATACATTTTTTAAAAATATATAAAATCTAATACAAACAACTCTCTGCCAGTTGTTGGAAAACTGTGTCCCAAAGAATAATCCTGCCGCTGCCTATTTTTATAAATAAAGATTTATTGAAACACAGCTACATCTGTTTCTTATCATGTGTCACTACTTTAACCCTATGACCACTGAGTTGAAAAGTCAGGGTGGAGCCCTTGCAGCCTGCAAAGCCAGACACATCTGGACTAAATAAGAGAATACCTATTGATATTTATTCTATATAATAAATTGCATGACCTTCATGAAAATAAATATTCTTAGAAAATAAAATGTCCAAAATTTACTCAAGACTTTAAGACTAACTTGACTCCAACACCCAGGGCTGTCCTGTCTGCTCCAGAGTAGAGCAAAAGACAAAATATTTCCAGTTAATTTCATAAAGCATAACTTTGATATCAAAACTTAACAAAGCTTTATATGAGGAGCTATCAATCTCATATGTTACTATTGACATAAAAATAAAAGAGGAACAATTTCAGCCCATTGCTATAGAAGAACTACTTTAGTATACGGTGAATTAAGGTTTCCCAGTTATAGTATCTCCAAAACTATCGTTGATTGATTGGCTTATTGATTTAACAGCCTTAAGATGCATTAAGATGTAGGGAAACCACTTTTACCGCTGAAACTAGAAGGATGAATCACTGAATGAGTCATTATGAAGTTTCTGCCTCAACAATTATAAGAAGAACCAGAGTGAAAAGCAGATACCCACTACCCAGGACGTCATCTTTACCACCATGGTACATCCTCAGGAGAATGAAGAAGAAGACGTAGAATCAAATATACAGAGTAAATTTTTTCTTAAAAAAGGGGGTTTGGGTCAGGCATT